CATTCTCAATATCAACTCGCAAGACCACCATCATGGAAGAACCATTCACAAAATTTTGGATAGCTTTTTGTGCAGCTGATTCAAATGGAAATTCAACACCATGATGATGATGTTGTTGGTGATGATGCAGTCACAGTTGATTCTGCTTGCTTTTCAATTTGATCAAAAGCTTCCTTTCTTTTCTAAAATCTTTTGTCTCTCTTGTTCAGTGTACAACTCAATGTCATGAATGTGGCGCTGTGACTTGTGAACAAAATTGAAATTTTGTACTTTAAATCATCCAAAGTCACGGTGTGATAATCGCCAGCCCACAACCCAACTCCATACACAGAGTTCGAGAAGCCAATTTGTGCCTTCAAGCCAGCCATGGAAGATGAGTACAACATTTTCTCTCACTTTAGCACGTTCAGGAACGTACCAAATCAACAACCATTCATAACTTGTGGAAGGAACAGGAGATGAGCTCGTACCACTGCTACAACCCACTGTAGAATCCAAACGGAAGAAGAAGTAACAAGGCAAGAGACCACCTTCACGAGAACAACTCTCAGACATGGCATTATAGTCATTCTCAATGGAAGAAGAGAGAGGATGAGTCTCAACGAGATCCATCACGGGTGGTTCTTGGTCTAATTGAATTCTTACTTTCAACCATCTGAGTTTATCGGCTTGAGTGAAAGGCTGAAAGTGGAGTTGGAATTTAGGAGAGAATCAGAGGCTGATTTTGCTCGGAGGAAGGCATTCAAGGCTTGTTGGGAGAGTTCAATTCCTATCATGGGTGTTGTTGTTATTGACGAGAGGATGACGATGAGAAGGAAGAGAATCATAATTAAATGAAATTGATGATGATTTTGGTTTCCACGATTCATCCATTGACATCATAGAGCCGGATCAAGAGATTGATATAAAAAAACAGTAATTAAAGAATCAATGAAACGGGAAGATTTGATGACAAGAACGATCGAACTGATTCGTAACGACACGAGGATGACAATCTCACACACTTACCAGTCTTGGCCATTTTTGGTGATTGATTTTCAAAATAAAAATCTTCAACCATCATCATTATGACATGATATTGGTGAGAGTCAAATGTACATAGCCAATACTTCAAGATCTCGATCTTCTTCTTTCTGGACATCCATTCTTTGATTTTAGTCAAAAAACGAGAAGTTGAATGCATACAAAACGTGTGGTCCTCCAAAATAAGATCATCAACAAAAATTTTGGTTTGATTTGATAAATTTTGAAATTTGAATTTAATTATAAATATAAAAATGTCTTCAAACAAAACCAAAGACAAGCCAAAGAAAGTCTCATCGGAATCTGACTCTTCAGACGATTCATCTTCCGATGATGATTTATTTCATCACAAAGCTGCAAAATCGTACAAACAATCAACATGGAAATATTCACATGCTCCTCCAACATCACCAAGTGAGCCTAACAAGAAGAAGAATCTATTGAAATTGCAAAAGCTTCCTCTCCAAACTCAAAAAGTACTGAAGCTAAAAAGGAGGAAACGACCAATAATGAAGACTTACTATTAGAGCTGCAAGTGGATATGTATAAAAACGAGCTTCATAAAAGAATGCGAAAAGAAATTCAGTCACCGATGAAGATTCAAAAAAACGAAAACCAAATGAAGAATTAAAGAAAATTATATTAGAACAAAAAAAGCAAAGAAGAGAACAGAAGCGAACAAAACACACTCATAGCTCGTCGATTCCTCCGGAAGATATCATTTCAATCGATGACGATCTTACTCCGACGACAGTAGAAAATGCACCAAGTAGTTCTAGCACTTTTCCTACTGCAACAACAAGCACATTGTTTGGAAACATGGGTAGCACATTTTCATCAAGTTCGACCATGTTTGGTCGGTCAACTCCAACTTTTCAAATCCATTCCGTACCATTAGCCCCTACCCATCGTATAATCCAGGAGACTTTTTATGAACGCTCTAAAATGATTTACAGAGAAAGCTCGATACATTATTGGAAAGCAGCACCGAGTCAGTGTTTGAAAAATTCGAAACTATTGATAAGTCGGCAACAGAGCTCTCAGAAAAAGAAAGACAGCGTATCGAACAGTCTCTCAAAAACAGGAATTGAGGCCTGAGCTGAAGCTTGACGATTCAACATTAATTGATCAAGAAGAGGAAGCAGACAATAAGGGAGAAAAAATTATCATTAGAGTGAGATGGAATGAAAAAGTAGTTCCTATTAACATGACTGTAACAGACAAATTCCAAAAGCTGAAAAAGCAGTGGCAAAACAATTTGATGCTCATACTGATCAAGTCACTTTGATCTTTGATGGAATGTCTTTAGATTTAAATTCAACACCGGAGGAACAAGGGATGGAAACAGATGATATTATTGATTGTAAAATTGACAAATCCAAACCAATTTCGAAAATAATTACATCATCCTTGTCTTCTTCCAAAAGCCCTCGACAGCCATTGAGATTATTGATGATACGGCCACCAAAGTTACCATTAATGTAAGGGCAAAAGAAAAGACATTTCCAGTCAAGATCAGCACGACGGACAAATTTTCAAAGATTGCAAAGTATGTTTCAAAACAGCTGAACGTGGATGACTCAAAAGTCAAGTTACTGTTAGATGGAATGGTTCTTGATTTAAATGACACTCCTGAGGACCACGACATGGAAGATGAAGACATTATTGATTGTCAAAAAACAAAGTGAAACCTAAGTATTTATCGATGTCAACCACTATTATGACAGTGATTGAGCCAAATCCTAAGCACTTTTCACCATTCCCAAAGAGTAAAGTATTCTTTTTTGTGGTGGTTATTCGTTTTCTTGTCTGAATGTTAAATTCCACTCACCATTTGCACCGTTGAGGGAAGTTGACTGTTGCAAAATGCATGCACTTTCCTCTGAACATGCAAACCCATTCGTGAAAACACTTCATGACAATCTCCTATGCTTTAATTTCAGAGTGTCAGCATGCTCCTCAAACATCATTATCATTGACTACTCTTGGCTCTTCTCCACTCACCATTCATGTCATTTCAGAAACTTCCAGACAACGCACTCTAAGATCCATCGTTGAACAGAAAATTATTCCCAAATGGATCAATTCTTCAGAAGAAATGATGGATACATGTACCACTCTCCAACATTCGAGACTTGTCCCCACTCATGACATGTTCACCTTTTACATTGAACGTGAAGAGAATAATCTCAATTCCAAGTTTCAAAAGGAAATTTAATATGTGGTGATTTCTACTCATGATCACGAACAAGAGATTGCTCTCTCGACACGACATCGCATGTGTTGGACGATGATTGAGGCCATGTCTCGCGATTATCATGATTCCTTGATCATGAAGAATGGGCGTACGGATATCAATTCTTTAAAGTCCCTAATGAAATATCATAAAAATCCAGAGAATGATAAAATTACATCATGCCATTGAGGAGACGAAGAATGCCATGATGATTAATGTTGATAAAATTCTTGAGAACCATAAAAAAGATGAATTGATTGTAGAGACAGATTCATTGAGAGAACAAGGTGAATTGTGGAGAGAGGGAGGAAGGAAGTTGAAATGGTCCATGATGAAGAGATGGATGATTATTGGTGGAATTGTGATTGGAACTGTTGTGATTGGAATTGCCCTCCTTCCATGGATTTTAGCATTGGCTTTGTAAATAAATAATTATTATTTTCACAAGTTCATACATGCTTGAGAGTCCAATTTTTCTCCCTCTTCACTTTGCAAGAATTGATAAGTTCAATTCCAAAGTCGAGTTTAGTGAAATACTTGAATCAATGATGATGATGAATTCAGAAATATCGTCAAATTGTCACAGAGTTCCTGTCTCTTTGTTGATCAACAAAAAATGCAGTCCACACCAAACACTTCCGATTTCCCTTCCTCTCCGCAGATGGAGCCTTCATCATCATCATTGGGTTCCATCCAAACACCAACCATGATGATCCTTGGATCAGGGACAAAAGATGGACCATTCACTCGGAGGATCTTTACTTTTTCAAAATTCCATAATGTCAGAATCATCCATTCTTGCATTGAAAAGGCTTGTATTGCAACAAGAACAGGAATTTCATGTTCTTCCTCCAATCGTAATGCCCAATCATGATTATTCTAACTTGTTGGAATCATCACTGCAGCAACTACTCATGTCGAGCTTTAACACTTCAAATAATAATAACATTCTGGACCTGTTCAAAATTAAAAGCAAAATCGGGGAGGATCCTTTGGTAGTGTCTATAAAGTGAAAATTAAATCTACAAAGGAAATTGTCGCTCTCAAAAGAATTTCAATGAATCATTTAGAGGAGGAAGAGGTGGAGGTGGATGGTAATGGAAAGAACACGACATCCATGTCATCATCGTCCGTGACATCATCATCCTCTAAAACTGCAATAATCGGAAAGAGAGCGACTGAAAATTTAAACGAGTTCTTCACATTGAAAGGGCTTGATCATCCATGTATTGTTAAAGTGAGGGAAGCATTCTTGATGTTTGATGACGAAAAATCGTTACAGCAAGGAGCAATTAAGAATGTGGCATATACGATGAAGTTTTATGAAAATGGCAGTTTGGCTGATTATATTTACAAGAATAAGGGCAATATTTCGTACAAGACAGTGAAATCAGTCATGATTCAATTATGTTTGGTATTGCAATATCTCCATTCTAGAAATTTGTTGCACAGGTAAGGATCAGCATTTTGGTAATTTTCTAGGAAATTCTAACCTCTTCTATTTATGAATTTTAAATGTTTGAATTCACATGAATTTACATCCCATTCTCTCACCAATAGAGATATCAAACCACAAAACATTTTCATTGATTCCTTATATTCTTTTAAAAATTCATTTATTCCACAAAATCAAATTGATCCAGCACTCAGCTCTGTCATTGTTATTTTAGGTGATTTTGGAACAGTTCGAAAATTTAACGAAGGATCCATGATTAGAACCATGGTAGGCTCTCAATTTTACATGTCACCTGAAATCATGTATGGAGAATCCTACCAATTAGATGCTGACATTTGGTCAATGGGTGTCAGCAATTAGGAGTACCAAAGCCCATAGCAATGATGGCATACAGAAATGAATATGTCATCATTAAGAGCTCTCGAGAGTGCTCTCATTAGTGACAAATTGAACGAGGATGAAAAAGTTGAGTGTATGGAGTTGATCGATCTGATCATGCAAATGTTTGACTTGGATCCAAAAGAGACATTCTATCGAATATTTGCTGTCATCAAAATCTCTCAAGCCATATGTTAATGACGTTACTCATTCTCTCACAATACAATTTACAAATAATGCAAGAAGGAAATGAGAAACTGCTGAAACTGGTTGACGATTTGCGCTTTAACATTGTATCAAATCAAGGAATGAGAACCACTATACGAAAAACAGACTCCAGCTCATCATTTTCTTCCTCACCATCAACCATCTCACAACAGAATTTATCGACAAACACGAATGGACGCTTGTTACTGGTTTCGAGTTGGTGGAGTTCCAATTTGAGAATTTTTCCAGTGGACGAAAAGAAGAGCGGACCTTTCGATGTTCTCTCAAATATGCCTTATTTATTGGATCTAAAATCAGATTTAACATGTGAACAATTATTACCTCTTTCTAAAGAAGAAATTATTCTTGGACTCAATTCAGGAGAAATAGTCAAGTTGAGAAGAGAAGGTGGACATTCTTTCAAGGAGTTGCTTCGTGCTATTGCCCACAAGGATCGTGAAATGTTTAAAGTTATTTCCTAATGTCTTTAATAGTTCCCTAAATATGGATGATTTATTTGCGTCAGGAAGCTACAACAAATCGGTGAAAGTGTGGAAAAGATCCTCTTTCGAATGTGTCAAACAATTTGAGCATGAGAGTGGAAATGTCTATGCATTAGCCACAACGTACAATTTAAGAAATAACCAACAACCAAGCTTAATTTCTGTCGGATCTGACATGAGTATTTATGAGTGGGATTTGGAAAAGTGTGTGAACGATAAGGCTCACAACGATGAAATTTATGCATGAATTTTTACAACTTTCACAGCCACTCCTATTCACTGGCAGCTTTAAGGAAATGAAAGGTTGGGATCATCGACAACACAAACCCTCAATATCACTGTCTCAAGCGCATTCCAATTATATTAACAAAATTATTGCTCTGGAACCAAAAAGCGACTCATCTTGCCTCTATAGAGATGGCAATCATTTTCTGACCTGTTCCAATGATGGTATGATCAAATTATGGGATGTGAGGAAATTACAAGACAGTACTTTAAAAGTGCAGAGATGAATGCTGTTCAAACCTTTAAGGTGAATTTGGACGGAATTAAGACACTTCATGTGATTTCTTCGACTGGGGAAAATCTACAGAGGAGAATGTCATTGCCTACGGAACAAAACGTGGCAAGCTTGGATTCATTGATTTGAATAATTTTACCTTGGTCAAGAGTTTCAATGCCATTCGAGGCGTGGTTGGACTTGTCGATGTTTCCGGAATTCAAATTTTGTAATTTCTTTCATTTTTTGAGCGATTGACCTGACGCAATTATATTAATTATACATTTAAGGTAAATTTCCAACATTTTTTCACATTGACTTTAATATTTGAAGATGATCATCCCATTCTCTAATGCTGGATATTCTACATACACATCAACCTTTAGTGGACAAACTCGAAAATTTGAAAAGAAGTACAAACACTCTTGCGTTACATTCACAACGCTCAATCCTTCTCAGAAATTGAAAACAACCTCACGGTGATCACTACTTAAGAACATTGCTCCGGACGTATACTTTTGTTCATTCACACCATCTTGTCCTTCTCTGCTTGACTCGTCGACACGCGACACACTTTACAACTGATTCAAATGTCACACCCTCCTCCGCCTCGGATTCATCCATACATCAAGGAGATATCGAAGATTATGCTCTCATAGGTAATTGTCACACAACAGCACTTGTGGGTATTCATGGATCGATTGATTATTGTTGTTTTCCTCAATTCGATTCCTCCTCTCTTTCTAAACTCGTTTCTGCGTCACGTGAGACGTGTGGTTACTTTTCCATTCATCCTCTTCGAATTGAGGATACGACCAATAAGCAGCATTACTTTCCTGATTCGAATGTGCTCGTCACAAAATTCTTGTTGAGTGAGGGAGTTGGACAAGTGGTCGATTTCATGCCCTTGATGAGGACAACAACTGATGGAAAGCAAAGTGGTGATCACTTTGAGCCACACGTGTCCAAACCTGTGACCAATGTTGTGGGTATGACCGAGGATTTACCTTGTGCCGATGAATGTTGTCCAATCACCAAACTCTTTCGAGGAGACCAAGTGAATTTGATGAGAGGACGAGTTCCCTCATCAGCCCATATGAAACTGGATCCCAATGATGACTTATTCAACAAGATGATTTCACATTCAATTATTCGAAGATTGGAGATTGTTCATGGTCACATTGATTTCCTTGTGGAGTGCACACCAGTATTTAACTATGGAAGAGAGAAACATATTGTGAAAATCTCTAATGATCGGAAATGTGTCGTTTTCACAGCTGAAGAAAGTGGTCACAAATTAATTTTACAATGTAATCGTGCTTGTTTTGAGAAGGCGACCGAAGATGGTCGAGGAATTGTTGGAAGTTTGGAACTGAGCGAATTAGATGTTGAGAAGAGTTGTGTATTTTTATTGAGCTACGTTGAGAAGGATACAACCGGAGTGACTCGTCACGAAGAAACCTTCAACACCTCTGAAGAGGACTCTCATAGGAAGAGTGTTGACAGTGACAAGTATTGCAGAATTCTTCCAGGACTGGTCCACAAAACCAATCAACTCGCCGTGGAAACGATTACATATTGGCAAAATTATATCAAAAGGAGTGAATATCAGGGAATTTTCAGAGAACAAGTGAATCGATCTCTTCTTGCTCTCAAATTATTAATGTTTGAAAAGACAGGTGCCATCATTTCCTCACCTACGACTTCATTGCCAAAGGTGATTGGTGGAGAACGAAATTACGATTACAGATACTTTTGGATGAGAGATGGCACCTTTGCCATTAATGCCTTTCTTCAAGCATCCATGATCGATGACGCTGCTAAAATTATTGGTTTCATTGAGCGAATGATTCATTATGAAATGGAAGAGAGACACAAGCAGAGAGACATGGATGTACCTGCAATCGTTGCTGCAGAAGAACAAGTCTCTGATATTGATATTGTCACCACCACCTCAGGAACCATGAGAGCACCCATTCACAATATTTACACCATTGACGGAAAATCTTTAGATCATGTGGAGGAAATTACAACCTTTACAGGTTTTCGTAACAGTCGACCGGTTCGAGTTGGAAATATGGCCACTCAAAATATTGAATTGGATATTTATGGAGAATTAATGGATGCTATTTATTCATATGATTCGAAACGACCAATCTCGTATGATTTATGGCTCAAATTGAGAAAGATGGTTGAATTTGTCATTGTGAATTGGAAAAATCCAGACCATTCCATTTGGGAGAAGACAAGTGCCACTGCTCACTATGTCTATTCCAAAGTCATGGCTTGGTGTTGTTTGGATCGAGCCATACGTCTCGCTGAAAGAAGAAGTTTTCCAGCTCCCATTCAACATTGGCTCAAAACTCGAAATGAAATCTATGAAGACATTATGAAAAAGGGATATAATGAGAAATTGGGATCCTTTGTTCAATCGTATGGATCGAATGCTCTCGATGTCTCTCTCTTAATTATGCCTCTTGTCAATTTCCTCTCCATTAGTGATCCACGAATGATCAGCACCATTGAAACCATTGATCGTAAACCCAAAGAAGGAGGTCTTGTGAGTTCCTCACTGGTCTATCGTAACAATGATATTCATCACCAAGACAAGACGATGCGTTTCACCGAAGGAACCTACAATATGTTTTCGTTTTGGTTATTAAGAGTGTTGGCACTCATGGGAGATCGTGACAAGAAGAAACTCAGACAAGCCCAACTCATGTTTGAAAAAATCTCCACTTTTAGTAATCATGTGGATTTGTTTAGTGAGATTACCTCTTTCACTGGAAATATGTTGGGAAATTTCATTCATTGCAATACGCATGCTTCTTTGATTGTCGCTGCAGTGGAATTATCGAAGAGACTCGAGTAAATTTGGAATTTTGTGTTGATTCTATAATAGATAATTTGTTTGATTAATCAATTCGCTCAAATTGACTTTCTTACGCTGATGGGAGTGGTGTTTTGTATTACTTTTCAAAAAAATAGTTTCGAAACTTGTTGAGGGTTGTATGAAGGCTCTTCTTCTTTCAGCGAGACTCTGAAAACGATCCTTCAACCTCAATTGAATCTTCCAGAAGAGCCTTTTTAAATCCAATAATCAGAGCGGAGAGTTACTAAGAATGGATGAACCAGCTCGGGCCTCCCTTCGTTACTATCATCTGTTTTTGATGATGGAAGTGGCAACAACAATAACTCGGAGAAGCAAAAGGCATCACCTTGGCTCGAGAAACGTCGTTCCATGTCGTTTCTCCATCGAAATATCATCAATGCCGAATCTTCGCCGAGTCAGCCTGTATCACCCTTTCTCCAGATTGGCCTAGAGAATAACAGCTCCTCTTCGGTTAATCGTCCGGGGAGATTTTCCTCTCCTCCAACTAGCCCCACTTTTCGAAGAGGATCTTTAATTTCAAAATCATTGTTTGAGGGGCTTCCTGGATTTGTAAGTGGTTGAGCTTTTCAAATTTTGGTTTTACATCTGATCATTGATCGTATAAACCGTTCAGAAACGATCTTCTCAAGAACAATTTGAATACATTCCTCAAAAGACGAAAACCAAGCGCTATAAAAAGAGTGTTAGCTCATCGGTAGGTGTTTTTTGTTCAGTTATGATTTAAAGTTGATCCTTACTTCATTCTCACAGAAAGAAATCGAGGAAAAATCCTTAAATCCATCAAAATCATACAAATTCTTTGAGGAAATAATTTTGAATCCTAAATCGTCTGGAAATAGATCCAGAAGAAAATCTACAATTTATCAAATAACTACCGATTCTAAAAACCACAATTTGGATGAATCTCCTTATGAAAAATTTCAACGATTGAAACATGAAGTGGAAACATTTGTTTCAGAAATGGAAAATCTGGCATCTTCAAATAAGAAATTACATTCTGAAAGTACTTCATATTATCGGGACATGCTGAAGCAATCTCAGCAACTTGAACAACAATTAAATGACCTTAAAGAAAGAAATCACATTTTACCGGAAGTGCTGTCAATTGATGAGAAGGAACCGAGTGCATCGCAGGTTCTTTTATCTGCTGAAACCGTTCACCAAGAGCTTGGAATATTGTTTGAGAACCAACAAAATGAAAGACCTTACACTTCTAATAGTTTAAATGCTTTGACCAAATCCTCTGAAGAACAGGATCGAGAGGATATGAGCAAAATTTTGAAGCTTGAAAAACGATTAGCATTGCTAGAAAAACTGGTGGGAAATGGAGACGAGCCACTCCCTGTTGATTCGACCAAAATCAGCTACAGCATTGAGGGTGCCCTATCATCTCTTGAAAAAAGCTTAACATGTTGGATCCATTCTTCTTGCAATCTTTAGAATCGAGAGTGAAATTTATTTCAAAAGAATTGGACTCTATTTCTTCTTCTGAAAACCTGGGAATAGGCTTCAACTCTGAAAAAGTCGACAGGTTATATCAAAAAGTACGAAAATGGGATGAGCTGGCAATGCAGGTGCCAATGATTGTATCTCGTTTGCAAACTCTAAAAATTGTACATGATGAAGCCATTTACTTTGCAGGCACTGTAACAAAGTTAAAAGAGCAACAAGAGGAGTTAATGGAGCTATTACATGGAAATGCGGATGTTTTGGAAAATTTCAACCAAAATTTTAGTGAAAATCTCGCTATCATTAATAATAACATGAAATCTCTTCAGGAGAGAATTAGAAACTTGGAAAAGAAATAGAATCCTACTTCTTTTTAACCTCAATGATAAAATATATTATTCCAAATTAAGGTTTTGATGAAATTAAGGTCTATCATATTGCTAAGGCAAGAATAATGAATACTATAATAATTGTGACACTACTGTTCATCAGTGACACTAACGAAACTCCGGCAGATGTTGTACAGTAGGGATTTGGGCTAGCCGTATAGTCAATCACATCACCACTCTGTCCCAAGAGTCCAGCTGAATTTTTAGCACAGAAATATTTGAACTTTAGATCTAGATCAGGATTTAAAAAGAATACACCTTGATAGAACCAGTTGAAAGGATTGTAGCCTTTGTCTCTATTCCAACAGCTGAAACAATTCATTGTTGTTATTATTTTTGGATTAGAAGAATTAACAGATGAGAACCATGTTGGTAAAATTGTCACCCTAATACTTTTGCAAGTACTTACTTGTCAGTATATTTTAAACAATCAGAATAACACACTGGAAGAATGGTTTTGTTTGAAGGATAGCACGAAGCAAATACTCTCATACAAGCAAATGATTTCCATGAAGAGACGCAACTTGCATCATCGGGAAGAAATTTCGAATTTTTGATAAAGTTATTTTGCAACGCAAGGTCATCCGCCGTATAGTTTTGGGTAATGCAACTGTGTGTTACAAGGATTGATTTTCATCGTTTTCGTTTCGAATTTGAGATGACAATGTGATGACATTTCGTGCAACAAGTATCAAATTGATGAAACATAAATGACATGTGGTGGAAGAGATGAATATACATGGTAATTCCATCAAAACAACTACCTACACATATTGAGATTTTGGTAAATGATGTTGGCACATGGTGAGACCCGATTTGATGGCATCATTTGCCAACACATCTGCCACAGCCATACACGTACCGGAACAAGTGCTACTCGTTGACACTTGTGCCAGTGTGAAGGATGACGTTGATGCAATGATGAAAACAAGGAATAGAGTGAATATCAAGTAGTTTGAAATGGGATGTTGTGAAAATGATATTGTTGTTGTTGGTGATGATCGGGATGACATGATGGATCGTGGTGGTGATGGTGAAAGGAATAACATTTTTTTGTTCTGTTTGGTTGACAAGTGTCATCTTATTTTGGAGTATTCAACAACACTCAAGTTTTGAGTCATTAAAGGTCTATGATCTCAATTTGCCATTCTTTGGATTTTCATCTTTTAACAAAAAATGTCATCATCTTCTAATTCTCTTCTTCTTAATCGGAAACAAGAACCACCAACAAAAAACCAAGAATCTTTGAATTTCCATGAAGAAATACTCTCTGTACAGCATCAGATACAAAAAGAACAACACGCAAGTTCTTCCCCAATGATGATGATTGAAGAAATTCCTTCCGAAATTTGGCTTGATCATATCTTTACTTTTTTGGAAGGAAAAATTCTGTTGAATACTTGCATGTTCGTTTCAAAACAGTGGAAAGAGTACGTGAAAAAAACAACATGTTCCTTACTGAATTTATCTATTCGGGCTGATACATCCACGAAACGAGATTTAATTTTTCAAATTTATATTTGGAACATGTTGAATCTTTGGATTTGTCTTTTAATGGTTTATCGAAGAGAGGAATTGTGCATTGGGCAAAATTTGGTCATAAGTTTACGGAATTGACAGGTTTGAATTTAAAGTTTAACATGCTTCGTGATTCAGCGATTATTGTGTTAGCTCAATTGGAATGTTTGAAAAATTGAAACATTTGAATTTGGCTTCGAACAAGATAGATACCGAAGGATTTGAAGCCATTGTGAAGTCTCCTTATTTTTCAAATATTACTACTCTGCAATTACAAGAAAATCAAATTGGATTGGAGGATTTATCGATTCAGCCTTCTCAAGTCACTCTGTCACAATTGACTTATTTGGATTTAAACCAAAACTGTATTACGACACATGGAATGCAATTTCTTTCCACATGTCCTGCTTTTCAAAATTTGACCTATTTGAATCTATCTAAAAACTCTCTCAATGAACATGCATTGAAATATCTTGCCAATGGAGTTTTCACTAAATTGGAGACTCTCGATCTCAATGGATGCTCAATTTTAGATTCTGGAATTATTCAACTTGCTTCTGGAAATATTCATCATTTAACTTGTCTAAATTTGGCGAGGAATGGAATTGGTGATTCGGCCGTTTCAGCACTCGTAAGCTCCACAAGAGTGTCTCACTTACAAAAATTAATACTGTCACACAATAGAATCACAAATGTTGGATCATCTTCAATTGCTTCATGTCCACACTTGAAAAAACTCAAACATTTGAGTTTAATACGAAATTCAATCGATGAGAAAGGTCAAAAAGCTCTATTGGATCGTTTTCCAGACATGATTCATCTTCAATTGCCACAGTTATCATCCAAACAAAGTGAATTCGAAACATTTTTCAATGCCATGGATAAGATTAGTAATCGATACAATTACTGAGCTTTCACATTACGTGAAAATATGCCAAATCTCTGTCCAAAGTATTTTTGTCCCAGTGACGCCTTTTTCACGTTTTGAGCTATTAATAACATTGTCACTGAAATCAAACTCAAAAAAATCCAAACCAACAACAGCAAACCGTAACACCTCTATCATCATCCTCATGCTCCCATCTCCACAAAACACTTCACGATGCACAAAAGTTCGTGCCAAAGAAAGGTTCACTCTTTGCCCCGAATTCACACAACGCTATCATTCCCATGAATTTATTGCTGAAGGAGGAAATGGCAGGGTGTACAAAGTTCAATTGAAACATCTTTCTTCAGATTTATTTCGAGCGATCAAATGTATTCCCATCCATGAAGAAGAAAGTGACATGTCTGTTGAGGATGCAAAAAAGGAAGCTCTCGTGACCATGAAATTTGCACACGAAAATGTTCTTCCTGTGCATGAGGTCTTGTCCGTGAAACAAAGTGAAGAAATTTCAGTGATTATCATTGAAATGGATTATATGAAGCTTGGAAGTCTTGCGGATGTTGTTACAAATTCGGAACCTTTCGAGGAAGACATTTTGAGAAATATTTTGAAACAAGTTTGTTCAGCGTTGAGTTATATTTGGGAAAACTTTCGAGTGTTGCATCGTGATGTGAAAACTGGAAATATTTTAATTCGAAGAATGAATTTAACAAGAAATGACATTTGTGTTTGTTTGAGCGACTTTGGAACTGCGAAAGAAGTTTTGAATTCATCCTCCTCTTGGTCACATTCGAGATCTTCTTGTGCATCTACGGGATTTATTGGAACAATTCATTTTGCTGCTCCAGAAATTCTTCACTTTCAAATGACTCCAACACAACAAAGACAATCACTGCCTTCTCCATATTCAGTGAAATCTGACATTTTTGCATTGGGTGTCACAATGGCTCAACTCATGACTGGAGATGTCTCAACCAATTATGCATCACTATCAAAAACACAAGGTCTCGTTCGAGATGATCTTTTGAAACATCAGAGAATCAAGTACAGTGATACATTCATTTCCTTAATTGAAAGAATGTTGAACAAAAATCCTGAGGAAAGACCTTCCTATGATGACATCATGAATGAATTGAGTCAAATTTCAACAAGGACATCAATCGAAGGACAGGTGCATCCATCAACCACTGAAACAGAAGAACCAGCTGAACACATATTGCCACCTTTCGACCCTGCATATGAAGATGCTGTTGTGAATCGATTGTTTGATTTATTTGGAGTCTCATCTCCGACCAAGTTCAGAGAAGAGTCGGTGAGAATTTGTTCTGGCTGTAAACACAAAGTGAAACACTATGTTCGAACCTTGCTAGGGCATTCTCAAATCTCTTGTGGATGTAGACTTGCCAGACATTACTATGAAAAACACAACTTGCCTACAACTGAAATGTGTCCCTGTGAAATGACAACTGACATAAATTAAATCAATTCCTCAGTTGATGAATGTTTTTTCACGAGTCCTATGAAACACTATGAAGCCATTATTGCAATACTGAACTCATTGTCAATCAGATTCTGTTAGGTGCTATTGTGATTTTCCAACATGCATTTAATATTGCAGGTATCTCTAAAGGTAACAGCATCATCCCTCCCTCATGAATGCGACAAATTTCAACAATGCACTGAGTGTAAGTGGTATTAGTGAATTTCGAAAAAGCCGACTAAAAGGACGAAAAAAAAACAAGGAGGAAGAACGAAGATTCGTGGCCTCCCACATGAATTGAACCTCATATCATGATTAATAGTGACGTTTAGTGATGATGTGCCTCATATTGTGAAACAATCAAAGCATGTGCAAATGGGTTCTGTAAAATTGACAAGTCATGAGATGGATCAAGCTTGTAGAAGGTGTGAGTGGTCGATGTTCTTGCATTTCGTGAAGTCTCCACAATAAATTTCAATTCTGCCCATTCTCGTTTGAAATTCTGATAAAATCCCATCAAGGAAGTGGCAAGAAGATATAATTTCAATTTGGCGTCAAAGATTAAATACTCCTTCTTGCATTTGAGATAGGTCAAGCAGTAATTAAAATAGGACATTAATAGTCCTTGTTTTCTGTGTTGCTCAAAGACACGTGTGAGTCTGTCTTCATGAATGGCCTTAATCGCATATTGAGCAAATATGATAAAATAATTGACTGGAACTCCTAAATCCATTTGAATACTTCTTAAAAGATCGTTGCACTTGAGTAAGAGCAAAACTTTACGATCCAAATCTCCCAACACTTTAGCAATATCCATAAAGTGTCGTTGACTGTAGGCCAAGAGTTTGTTTTTCGATTGTTGTTTCTGTTGAGAGCCTTGTGTGTGAACTGTGTAGAGATCTTCGTTGGGATCATGAGCTCGTGCCGTGAGAATGACTTTTAACAATTCAGACATGAGAGGTCCATCTTGCTTATTTTTCGAGTCTGTGAGACCCAATTGTTTAGAAACTTCAATCAATTCCTCCTTATTGTAATCCACAATAGCTTTCCATAATCTGCAATATAATATTCTAAAATCATTGTCTAATTGATGATACAGACCGTGATCAATGAGCACCAATTCAATATTGTCTGACCATAGGCCTCTCTTTCGACAACAAATGATATTTCCTGGATGTGGATCGGCATGAATAAATGCCTTTGAGAAGATTTGTTCACTGAATGCGTGTGACAATAAATAGCTAATGTAGCTCACATCAATGTCAATACCTTTTTCACGCATGGAATGAATATCAGTGACTTTGAAACCATCCACAAATTCAATGGTTAGCACCTTGTCTGTACAATGAGTCCAATACACATGGGGCGTTCGTACGTGATCTCTCAGTTTGGGAACTGTCGCAAGTTTCTGACCCAATAAATAGCAATTTTTGGCCTCATTGAAAAAATTCAATTCGAAAGGTAAATTCAATTCAAACTCGTTGCAAATCCATTGTAATTTGATATCTTTAAAGGCAAATTCGGCCATCGCAATGAGTCTCTTCAATAATTTCGTGTCGGATGAGAGAGTTTCTCTCAGGTCAGGATATTGAACTTTTAGAGCAACCTTGTTGTCCGATCCTTTCAAATAAGCCACATGAACTTGAGCGAGAGAGCCAGCTGCAATTGGTTTAGATTCAATTCGAGAAAAGTATACATCATAGAGAGGATCTGATGCTCCCTTTTCCACACGTTTCACTCCAGTCAATTCCTCTCTAATGAAAGCTTCAATGACTGACCAAGGCCGAGTGGGTGCTCGATCCTGACATGGCTTAAAGCCTTCAGTAAATTCTACTGGAAGTACTTGATTTAGAGATGCAATATGTTGACCAGCTTTAATAAAAACGCCACCATTGGCCAAACATAATTGTACCAAGCGTTGAGCACTTCTTCGATGCACTGCTGATTTGTGTTCCAAAATTTCCTCCTCAGTCACACCTTCCACATTGTCCAATTTGTTAAAATGTAATTTATAATCGGCCACCACAATACCCAAAGCCACAAAAGATCGAATAATTTTAATGATCGATTCTAATTGGTGTGGCATTTTGAAGTGATATTGATAGAAGGGTTGATTGTGTGGAACACCCAATGATTCATTTTCCGTTTCCATCAATTCCTCATCAAGGAACAAAATGTCCTTCACACTAAATCCTAGAAGCATCAATGAAAGGGTTGAAAAGATGACCCAAGCAATTCCAACACGTCGCACCGTTGGACTGATTTTGGATTTCTTTTCTTCACCCGATGAAGAGGAGAATGATGATGAATCATTATTATTGTTTGCTGAATTAACGTGTTGTTGAGAAGTACTACTACTATTCGGATTATTTTCTTTGTCATTCGTAGTTGATGATGAGGAAGTGGGATTGAAGTTGCTTTGAGACGATGAATGATAATTCCGAATGTAATTTTCACTACTACTCGTTGTTGATTCAATCATCCTCCTCATACTTTTAGTTGAAACATTCAAATCCGAAGAAGCACAAGGTAATGATGAAAATTCCCTTACATTATTAACACAAGATGTTAATGATGATGATAATACAATTGATGAATCTCCAAGACGAATCAAGCTTGTTTGCTGCTGCTGATTTTGAAGGCTTCGCAAGCGTGGAATCAACGATCGGGATTTGAACATTTTTTTCGCACCTTTTGCAAAGTTGGTTGGCAACGCAACAAAATCCGACTTTTCAGAAAACTAACTTTTGGAATTGAGAGGATGATGCTGGTTTGGTCATAATAATAATTCACCACACCATCCCCACAACAAAAAGGAAAGATGCAATGTTCTGATCACTTGTCACAACAACAGAAATCTCAACTGCAAAAAAATATGTGATAATCTTGACTTCGAGGTCGTCTTCGATAATGGATCTAGATTTTGCAAGGCTGGTTTCGCTGGTGATGATGCACCAAGAGCTGTCTTCCCTTCCATCATTGGTAGACCAAAACGACCTTGGATGAAGGATTTCTATGTTGGTTATGAAGCTCTATCCAAGAGAAGTTTGTTGACTTTGAACCATCCAATTCAACGTGGCATGGTCACTAACTGGGATGATATGGAAACGATTTGGCATGGCAGACAAATCAAGGAAGATTTGTTACATTGCATTAGACTATGAAAGGGAGACTGCTGCTTCTGAATCATCTCCAGTCAACCAGTCTTATGAATTGCCAGATGGCAAGGTGATTACGATTGGTCACGAAAGATTCAAATGTCCAGAAGTCTTGTTCCAACCAAATTTGATTGGTATGGAAGCAGCTGGTATACATGAAGCTATTTTCAACACCATCAAGAATTGCGATATTGACATTAGAAAGAAAATGTTTGAAAATGTTGTCTTGGCTGGTGGTTCTACCTTGTTCAAAGGTTTTGCTGAAAGAATGACCAAGGAATTGACAAATTTGGCTCCTGCTTCTGTGAATATTAACGTTATTGCTCCTCCTGAAAGAATGTTTACTGCCTGGATTGGTGGATCCCTTTTGGGTTCATTGTCCTCCTTCCAACCATTGTGGATCATAAAGGAAGAATATATGGAGGGTAATTGGGAGAGCAAGCTACCAGCTAATATATAGATATCATGATTCGTTGAGAACTCAATTATCCATTTTACTTTTATTATCGAACGAAATAATGAAAATTGAATTAAAAATCCACACCCCGCCAAAATTTACAACATGTAAACGAGAAAAAAAATATATAAAACCAA